CCGGCTGGCGTTGGCTCCCTTGGACACAGGGGAAGCTTCTAGCAGCTTCTCACAGAAGCCACCCCTGCAGCCCCCTGCTACCAAAACCTCGCCATGCAAACCCAATACACATACTAAGGAGGAAGCATGTCATCATCCAGAATATTAGATACTGTGTCAAGACTTTAGATAACCATTATACTTACTGTGTTTATGTGTGATCTGTAATACTTGTTGTGAAATGCTATAGAGGATAGTAGTTCTGTTGAAAGCAATGGTATCTACCATTAGTCAAATTAGACATCTTTGTTATAAGGCTTATTACCAAGAAAATCTTGTGTTGTATGTTGTATAGGAAAGAAACTTAGTGCCTAGCTGTATATGTTCATGCCTGAATATGTGAAATATTCTGGTTTATTGAGTCACCTTCCAAACAGTAGCAAAATCCCTTGTTTTGTTTTTTCTTTATGTACAGAGCAGTTTGCCTAGAGCCTGGAGAACAGGGTTGGGGCATAAGGTAGGAGGTGAATTCCACATACTGCCCCTGGCCGGTGAGATGCTCATGAGGCACCCAGTCACTTTGTGCTTCTGTGCTTCCATTTCCCAATTAATAATAATGAAGATAGAGTTTTAATTTTTTTGAAGGGGTTTCTTTTGGGGAAAATACCTAACAATATCTCATTCTTATGACACTGAAAAAAATTTAGCATTTTTTTGGTTTTTTTTTTAATTTAAATCATGCTAGAAATTTTGCCAGGAAATTAAAAATACAAGGGAAGACATAACAAAACCCCTGAACAATGAGAATTATTCTTTCACTGATGTTCATTCATGTAATGTTTTAGGCCAAACAGAAGATGTGGTTATGCTCCTGAATTTTGGGGTTGATCCCACTGTTCCAGATTCACGGTCAAGATATGTCATAGATATCTTGAAAAAGAACAAAAACTTTGATGCTGTAAAAGCTGTCAGCAATCACATTGAGAAACACACTTCCTCTGAGAAACAGACAGGTACTGCATGGACTGTGTGCTTTTCTTGTTTTAAAATTACATCCTTCAGATACAACGTTGTTTAATTTGTAATTGGTAACAGTAGGTGGTTTTTATGTAACTTTTTCTATTTGTTGTCACTTTTCCTTGGCGCTAACCAACCAGAACTTTAAGATAACACCTGTATTAGCATTATTACTGTATTAGCCAAAAGCATAACCTTTTCAAAATAGAACTTGCTTGTGTCATGCAGATTTCAAAGCACAGATGGAGCAAAAGGCTGCACAGGCAAATCAAACTTGGCAAAAAGCAAAGATTTTAGGCTATATCCCCGATTTCATGTGTGTATTGCATATAAGTTCTCTGGAAGGCACCGGGTTTCATTGCACTTCCATTGTATGGCTCCTGGCAAGCAGATTCCCACAGTTCCTCTTTCTTTACTGAACAGATCTGCCCTGACCTGGAGAAGGTCTTAGCCCAGTGGTTCTCAGTTAGGAGGTTAACACCAATCCCCCTGTGGTAGTAATTGCTTTGGTTGGTGTTCCAGGTAGCTCAGTGTGTCTTTTTTTTTATGGTCATTTTTTTTTTTTTTTTTGGCCAATGTATAGCCCCAAATTGTTTTCTAGGCTTAGCGCAAAATGAGAGGCTGGAGAATAAGCCACTTGCTTTACAGATAACAGCCTGAGGTTAATCCTGGTTGTCTTTGTCCTAAGGGATAAAGCTGCTGTTTTGTTTGGTCTTTAAAGTACTTGAATTCCTCAAAGCTTTAAGGCAAGTCAAGCCACGTTTTTCCGTTTTCATTTAAGGGCATTTATTAGGACATAATTTAAAATCTGCCATTGCCCATTACCTAAGTATCTCTTAAACTTTTAGGTATGATTTTGGTGTGGTGGGGGTTTTTGCTTTTGTTTGTTTGCTTTGTGTTTTGTTTTTTTTATCTTTTAAGAGGACAAATTATTTTCTGGCTGTATTTCTTAAATGCCACTAAGGAATCAGACAAGCTCAGGACACATGATTAAAACTATGCTGAAAAAATTACTGGTTTTAGTCATCTAATCTAAAAATTCAGAACAATGATATCACTGCGAGGCAGCAGTGTCCTGCCTGCATGCCGATCAACTTGTGAACTATTACAATTTTCAGCTTAGTGTATTATGGTAAAGAGTGTATTTGATGAGAGGGTCAAATATCCTTTGGGATACAAAGTCCATCACAGGACTGGCTTTGGCAGGAAGAGTTTCAGCCATGTGATTTTAACCTGCCACTACACATTTCTCAGAGCCTTGAGATGTATCATATTACAGGCCTGCACTGAAAACATGGCAGCAAGGAACTGGGTTTTCAATTTCTGTAATATTTTGCAGGGAGGAATGAAAGCGGAGCCATAGCTGATGCAGATTCTCTCCTGGATGTTCTTGAACAGTTTGTCCAGTTCTACAAATTTGAAAATGGAGCACATCATAAAAATGTATTGAAGGAAGATGCAGTTAAGCAATTTCTGAAACTGCTGTCTTCTGTGAAAGGTACAGCAAGTTCCCATCTCTCCCCTTCACAAAACTTAATTGCTGTGAAAAATGTGTTTGATGCTAATGTGCAGGTTTTGCGCTCTTGCCCTTCCTTCCCTTCCCTGTTTCTGCAACTGATATTACTGGAACAATGTGCTTTTACTTATTCTTACTGTTGTGTTTTGTGCTTAGAACCACCGGGGTATGCACAAAATTTCAGTATGATGAATCAAAATCTTCAAACTTATTTGGCTGTCTGCATCAGGACAAAAAGATGCAAGTGTTCCATTTTGCTGTTCTGTACTTTCAATTTAGTGAGTTCATTATTCTGAAATTAGTTTACAGTGAGATTGATTTTATTAAGTGGTTTGAGTGAGTTATGTTGTCTTGACTGTCTTTGCAGAAATCCCTGAAGGGGTGGTTTGCAACATCTCCCATGCCTGTGCTAACAGCTTCATAAAACAGTTGCTGGAGAAGCAAATGTGGGATAAAGTTTTGCTGCTGCTAACAGGGAAAGCCAGTGGGGAAGAGCCGTCAGGTGGAGGACTCTTCAAAAACTGCAGTCTTTCAGATGTTGACATTGGCAACGTTATCAAGCAGTGTGACAGATCGGACAAACAAGTGCACCTCATAAGATGCTTGATTGAACGAGGAGGTGAAAAACTGTGCAATATTAATGTGTTACAATAGATCCAATATTTTATTTGGCATTTTTGGAACAACATTGCTTTAGAAATACCAACACATGTTTTTTGTGGCTCTGTATAAGTGCAACAGCTTGTTGGAGTGCAGTCCACTGGCTGCATCCACTGCGTGCGACATGGGGTGGCTTGTAAGGTTACGTGGGAGGGAAGATGTCTTTCAAATGAAATTTGGCTGTCAGGGTTGGTAAAAGGCAAAAAGCCAAGGATTATTGTTGCTTCTTTTCTTGTAGTTTCTTTGTTTTTTAATTTCTTTGTCTTCAGCCACAATGTTATCCTGATTGATAGAAACTGTAGGCCACAGTCTTTGGGTTCAGTCTGTTGTTATGTTACAAGTAATTGACTACTTCAGTGATTTCAAAGGCATGACCAGATGTCTGTCTGTCTGTAGCTAATGTGGACATCATAATTGTTCTTGTTTTGCATGAGGCTTATTGCTAGAATTACTCTGGCATTTTTAATTTCACCTTATAATTTGATGTTAGTTATGGACACACAGTCCTGCTGCAGCATTGTGAGTGCCAGAGGTGCAAGGAGGCTTCTTGTTTTGGTCAGTAACTGACTTGAAGATATGCCTTTCTCTCTTCCTATCACAACAGGAGGACTGGTTGCTTACCTTAATGGGAGATCAGAGGAGAGTCTGAAGATTTTCTTAGTCAATAACTCTTTAATTGATACATGTAAAAAGCTGACCAAAAAAAATGTCACCTGCTCAGCAATCAGCATGTACCTTCATCTGTTTAGAACTTTCTGTAGTTTGCAGTTTTGGCGTTTCAGATTTAACCCCTGATACTTTCATGTCCTTCACACCAGCTCTGCCAGATGGGATTGGAACCAACTCTGAAATACCACTGCAAATATGTCTCAGAAAGAATTATTTTGAACTGGTGTATTTGCTGCTGACCAAAGGTGCAGATCCTCGAAATCTCTCTGTTGCACAAGGAGATACTCCTTTGCATGCTGCAGTTTCCATCTGTTTAAATAATAGAGGTAAGGCTTTTGTGTGCCTGGGAAACACAAAGGGCTCTAGCAGATGTGCGCCATTTGTTTTCACAGAAACAGTTGAAAAACATCCCCATTTCTTACCTGTCCAGGCCACTGGCCCTTCTGCTGCTGTTTCCTGATGTGATAGCAGCAGATCAGGATGTTTGACTGTGTCAGAGCCCCCAAAGTTTGCAGGCCAGAGGGTACACAGCAGTCTTTGTTAAGCTGATGTGTTCTGCTTTGTGGTTGCAGTGGTTGGGGCTGTGAGGAGAGTTAATGGCAGCTTAGGTGACCAGGGGGAATCAAGCAGCTGTAATGTCTGTCAGTTACTGTTCTGTGAATGTATTTTTTTTAATCAAGCTGATTTAGAAAGGAAGGCTCCTGTCTGAAACCCTGTACGGTGTGTACTAGGTGGGAATGAAGTAAACTAGGTGGAAATGAAGTAAACTAGGTGGAAACGAAGAAATCTAGGAAGAAACAAAGGCAAAGGCAAGAATGATGGCAGCAGACTTTGAAGGAAATCCTACAGTAACATCTGAAATCTGTTTCCCAATTTTTGTTCAGTTGTAAATCAAGCAAAGTTTTGTTCAGAGGAGTGAGTGAGAAGACTGTAGGGCTTACATAAAAATGTAAGAATTTAAGATAAACTATCAAATTAAGTCCTAAATTCAGGTTTGATTTTAAATTAAGAAAAAATGCATTTTTGAATTGAAGGATTAAAATGGTAAAAAATACTGAATTTACTCATTTTTAAAGCACAAACATTTCATGTAGTAGCTTTAAAGAGATCAAAGGATAGATGCTGCCAGTTGTTTTTAAATCAAAAGATTAAGAAGTCCAATGACAATATCTTCTTTTAAGTATTTTTCACTGTGTAAAGTTTTTGGGGTGGAATTCCTTTATGATGATTTTGGTGTGTCACTATTTTACAGTTAGGAAAGAAATGTTTAACACATATTATCTGGTTTAATTCACGTATATTATCCCAATTAAATCCAGACAGCTGTGGAATATCTCATTTCTTTTTTTTCCTGAGGGAGGTATTGGACTAATCTTATTTTGTAGGAAATTGCTTTAGGGACCTCAGATGTCAGGAAATAATTGGGATTTGCCACAGGTTATTTTAGTAAACCTAAGTTATCTGCAGCAGATTACTTCTGGGTGGCATATTAAAGTGAGCCAAACGACCCCAGAGCAGTATGCAGAGCTGCTACTTGTCCAGATGACCAGAGTCACCAGCCTAGCTTGAGGAGCACTCAGGGCTGATGTTAGAAGATGAACGAATCTGTCTGCACCCTGAGATTAAAAAAAGGAATGTAATTGATGCTACAGGAACAATTGCAGCACTAGGGATTTCTAAATCTTTGCTTTCAATGTATTGTTTTCCCTGAATATTAGAAAAGCTCAGTTTGAGCCATTTCAAATAAGCATCTTCTACAAACATGAAATGTAGATTTTTTTTTCTTTCGAAAGCAAATTGATTTTTCATTTAACAGCTGCAGAAAAAAAGTGTTAAAAATCATTGACCTACAAAGCAGCCTTGTAAAGCAAGTGTTTGTTTTTTTTTTTAATTTATTTATTATCTGTTCTCTTGCTTTCAGATGGCACTGGTTTAAACATTCTGAACTATCTACTTGATCTCTTTGCTTCAAGACCTTCCAACTTCCCATATCTTAATCCAAACATACAAGATGAGAATGGAAATACAGTGATGCATGTTGTTTTTCAGAGAGGAGTTTCAAAACAGGCTAAGAGAATAATGGAGTCATTGGCAAAATTTGATGTTAACTTTAATATAAAAAACAAATTAGGAAGAGATGTGAGGCATAGAATTAAAAAAAATGACCCACTGTTACTTGCCTGGAATAATGCTGCACTGGAGAAAAAGAAGCACCGTCAGGATATAGCAGGGCAGTTGGTTAAAACATCTAAGCCCATTCCAGCCTCTGAGATTCCACAGCCGAAGAGCACAGGGCGTGCTTTGTCAGGGTCCTCATTAAAGGCACCATCTGGCAACACAGAGCATAATGATTCAAAAACCCTGTCTTCTGTAAAGACAAAAAAAGATGAGTTGGCAAAGCAGGAAACAGAAGGAATAAATAGCCCCTTAACGCTGCAGGAAAGTCTAGTACAGGCAATCACAGCTTTAATTCAGCAACTGAAATTGGGTGATACCCTGAGAAAAGATCATCCTCTGGTACAAAAGCCATCTTCAGCCCAGACTAATTTGGAAGAGGGAAGAAGTGAGTCCTCACAACCTTGTGGAAGCATAGCTTATCCTGAAGGAAAAGGGGATGATTGGGAGAAAAAGGAAGGAGCCAGGGAATTTAGTATGGCCCTGCCTAATAGCGAGAAGGAAGAACCAGAGGAAGAGAAGGGGAAGATTTTGGATATGGAGGCATATGTGCAGGAGTTTGATAACATGACCTGGGAAATAGAGTGTACTCCTGAATTGCTGAAGATGTTGGGCAGCAAAGCTGTGCCTCATTATCTGAAAACTAAAACTATAATGACAATTAAGCAGCTTGGCACTGGGGAGTGGACTAGGGGCCTTCAGAAGCCACTGAAACACTTGAAAGCCGATATCCAGCTGTATGAAGCCAAGTTGGGCAAAGGTGCAAGAATGCTATGGGAGCTTGCAATAGACTTTTCTCCTCGTTGCAGCGAGAGTGCAGAAAAGATTATGGAGACAGAACAGACAAAAAGTCTTCCAGAAAAATCGGGTAGAGTTTACACGGAAATAATCAGAATTTGGGCCATTGTTCTTGACCACTGCAAGCTGAACCGTGTCTTAGATAATATATGTATTTCCTACAATCGTGGTTTATCCTGCATCTTGAGGAAGAAACTCAAGGGCATAAATGAAGGACATCAGAAGCACAGTGTGACAACGCAGAAGCGTGTTCCGCGTTGTTATGTTGAAGACTCAGAGGCAGAAAAATCAAAAGAACATACCATACCTGAGTATTTCCCTCCAGCCAGCGCAGCAGAATTGGAATACAATATAATGAAATTTCACAGCTTCAGTACTAACATGGCGCTTAACATTATAAATGATGTACATTCTTCTGTTGAATACCCTTTCCGGGTTGGGGAGTTGGAGTATGCAGTAATTGATCTCAATCCAAAGCCCATGGAACCAATCATTTTAATTGGGAGAAGTGGGACAGGGAAGACAACTTGCTGCTTGTATAGGCTTTGGAAGAAATTCTGTTCTTACTGGGAAAAATCCACCCTCGCAAATGGTCCTCTGCTGGAGAGGCAAACATGGCAGCAAAGGAAGTGCAGTGAGGTTGAAAAAACTAGGTTAGAGAAGGAAGAGAGTGAAGTAAAACAGGACAGTGATGATTCGAGTGATGAGCAAGAGCAGGACAGTGAGGATGAAAAGGTTCCTGCAGGCACAGCTGGTGCGGAAATGAATTCATGTGATGACCATGAAGAAGACCAAATGCATAGCACAGAAGCATTGAACAGGCTGGAGCACCTGCACCAGATCTTTGTGACAAAAAATCCTGTCTTGTGCCAAGAAGTTCAGAAGAATTTCATCGAACTTAGCAAGTCTTCCAAGGTAACCAGTCACTTCAAGCCTCTGGAGCCAAATGTGCACAAGCTACAAGACATTAAAGATGAAAATTTTCCGTTGTTTGTCACCTCTAAGCAGTTGTTGCTGTTACTGGATGCATCCATGCCTGAGCCATTTTTTCCGAGAGACGAAGATGGAAGCCTTAAAAGAACCATTGTTGGTTGGAGTCCTCAGGAAGACTTGCTTGTACCAAATTGGCAAGATGAGGATGAAGAAGGTAATGTTGAAGCAGAACATGATGATGATGAAGGAGCTGCAGATGTGTACTCTAGGGAAAGTGATCCTCGGACTTTTGTGACTTATGATTTATTTACAAATGAAATATGGCCAAAAATGATAAAAGGTAAAAGCCTGTACAATCCAGCACTAGTTTGGAAAGAAATAAAATCATTTCTGAAAGGCTCTTTTGAGGCACTGAGTTGCTTTGGGGGTAAACTTACTGAGGAGCAGTACAAAAAGCTAGGCCGAAAGAGGTCACCGAACTTCACAGAAGACAGGAGTGAAATCTATCACCTCTTTTGTCTTTATCAGCAGATACGATCGCAGAGAGGTTACTTTGATGAAGAAGATTTGCTGTATAACTTATCTCAAAGACTGTCAAAGCTCAGAGAGCTGCCGTGGTCCATCCATGAGTTCTATGGTGATGAGATACAGGATTTCACCCAAGCTGAGTTAGCACTGTTAATGAAATGCATCAATGACCCTAATGCCATGTTTCTAACTGGTGACACTGCCCAGAGCATAATGAAGGGAGTTTCTTTTCGTTTTAGTGATCTGAGGTCACTGTTTCATTATGCAAGCAAGAACTCCTTGAACAAGAAGCAGCGTGTTAGAAAACCAAAAAGGATATATCAGTTGTACCAGAACTACAGGTCGCATTCAGGTAGAGTAACAAATTTCCTTATGATCTGAGCCTGTGCTCTTTAGATGTCACTAATGATGGAAGTTTTCTACTGGCCAATTCAAAACAGCAGCCTTTTTTTTTTAAGAGGTCAGATGGTCAGCTTTTTCTGACATGCAGATTCTGTATTTTGACATCTCACTGGAAAACCAAGAACAAACATTGTTTAAATTGTCATTTTTTGAACACTCATGATTATTGCGTCTTTTGACAGTATTTGTTTGAAGGAAAACTTAACAAATAATCGTACCCATTTCTGTTGTCTCATCCCAAAATCGCTGGACTTTGCAGCACTAGTGTTCTGCTGCTGCTTTTCTTATTTGTTTCTCATTTATGACCTTCATTTTATGAGGATGCTGCTAAGCCTTTGTAGCACGGTTTCTGATCTTTGCAGGCCCAAGAATGAGGTCCACTCAAAAACATCAAGGGGACCTTACAGCTTCTCTCTTCTCTGACTAGTGTTTTGTGTTATTATATTTCTTAATTTCAAAATTCTAACAATCTCTTAAAAGTGTGTTTGCAAGAGAGTATGAGACAGACTGAAGTTTTTAAAATCTGTATTCTGCTTATTACAGGTATTCTCCGTTTAGCATCTGGAGTGGTTGATTTGCTTCAGCATTATTTCCCAGAATCTTTTGATCGCCTTCCTAAGGACTGCGGTCTCTTTGAAGGACCAAAACCTACAGTCTTGGAGTCCTGCAGTGTTAGTGACCTAGCAATTCTGCTGAGGGGCAACAAAAGGAAAACGCAACCCATTGAATTTGGAGCACATCAGGTTTGCTTTTCCTAGGTATACGGCTTTTTGCAGATTCTTCCAGCTCTGTTGCTAAATCATCATTTTATATGGACTGCCCACAACTTTCCTTTTTAAGCACTTGTATCTCACTGATAAATTATGCTTTTTAAACTTAGGAACCTTTATTGTGTTGGTTTCTGATTCTTCTTAATACATGTCTGGCTCTTTCTGTTCTTTTTTGCGTCAAGTGTTTCCTGTCCTGTTCCTTTCTAACTCCAAATTTTCTTACACCAGATCTATGACTGTCTTCTCATACCATGCATTTATAAGTCTTCTAGAGGCGGCTTTGTGACCTTTTTTGCAGAATGTGCTGGAATGAATGTGTTAAATGCTGTCTGGTTTTGAGAAAGCTCTTACGTTATCGTGATGCTTGTGTGCTTTCTCTATGAGGCTGTTATCTTCTTTTGCTTCCTAATTTATTCCTTTCATTAATGTATTTTATGACAGGTGGTATTAGTGGCAAATGAAACTGCAAAGGAGAAGATACCTGAGGAACTCAGTTTAGCACTTGTACTGACAGTTTATGAAGCAAAGGGCTTGGAATTTGATGATGTACTCCTTTACAACTTTTTCACAGACTCGGAGGTATTTAATTCTTACCCATTTTCTGCATTTTTTGTTAATGTCTTGATTTTACAAGTGGTCTAATTGGCTTTCCAGCTAGGGAAGGATTCATTGTTTTCTCTGAAGGTGGTTGGTTTCATCACAGTAAAAAACAAAGCTATGAATTAACGCCTCTTCCCTTAGTGCTGCATTTTCCTTCAGGCTGGCTGTTACAGTTTAAGGGAGAGCCTTGGGGTTCACACAGCAGCGCATAAACAAACACGCACGCTTCTGCTACATGCAAAGGCTGCTGCACTAGCTTACAGCATGTCCCTACCAGCTGCTCCCTCTTCAGGTCCATCACCCTCACATACTCTTTATCTTATACTGGGGTTCTGGGTTCCAGAAAAACACCTTAGACCCCCTGCTTTGCATCACCACTCTGTTCAGAGTGTGATTTTTCTGGTGTGCTAGCTGATAGACTTGAAATAATTTTTCAGCCCCAGACAAAATGAAACAGAATTAATTTTTTTAATTAAAAACTTAGTAAAACAATTATGTTTAGACTCAAATAGTGTGCATATGTGTTTGGGGGCAGGGGGTGTGCTTGGTAGACATCCACAGCTTAGCTCCAGAAAACTCATTCCGGTCTAGCTGAGGAGTTTGTCAGGAAGCAGGATGGTCTCTGTGGCAGAGACCATCGCCTGTAAAATGGCCTCGGATGAAGGCAGCTTTTTTCCTGGAGGTGTTTTGTATTTTTTATGTACTTCCTTTTCCCCCATAAGCGGTTCTCCAGGGAGCTCAGACCCTGCCCCACCAGGGTTTCCTGTAACTCCAGACCCGTCAGGGAGTGGTCCTCCAGGCTCTTAGCAAAGAGCTGTCGGCTGCAGGAGCCTCACTGCTGTTGCTGGAATGTCACCCAGCCCCACCGCCCCAGCCAGGCAGTAGGCAGCATCCTTACTGAACATGCCTGCAGAGACTCAAGAATGCCCACGGCTGAGTTGCTCTGCAATTAAACGTTCAGTGTGAACATCTCTGTTGCAGATGCCCTCTGCTTCTAGCCCTTAAAACAGTGTCTCAGGTGGGGTTTTCAGCAGATGAAAATCACAGATGTGTAAAGGAAAATAGGGCAGTTTACTCATTTATTAGCCTCTGTGCCGAGTCGCATTACGTAGTGAGGGTGGAATGACCTAGAATATTGCTTACTGAGATTTGGGGACATTATTATACTGGCTGTCATGATAGATTTCTCGAAGTTGATATGTTTTTGGTGATGTGAGTTGTGCTCAGAAGAACAATGAACTAATAGCAGAATCAGGAGTTGAGTGTGGTGAGCATTTTAAGTCAGCTAGACTAATTGGCTTGGAGAACTGTTCCCATATAATTCTTCTGTTTTCCTGCAAGTCATGAGTAACTGAGTTGATTTGAGCAGGCAAGAAATAAACTCACCCTGAGGTTTTCTAGGTTTGAAAAGTTGAATTTCTGGACTGTTGTAAACACAGCAAATACGGCTGTGTACTCCTTATATTTTTTGAGTTTTCTTTTTGTTGGACTTGAAAATGAGATTTGAAATGAGTCTTATTTCATGAAGCAGGTTTAAATGAAGACTCAAAAAGGGAAAAACCCTAAGCCCCAAAAACCCAGCAAGCTGTTGACCAAATTGATACCATTACCTGGTGGTTATGTTCTAATCCATGACAGGCTTAGGAGTGTTTTGATTGATGATATATTGCAATCATAACTTCAAAATACATTTTGCAAGAAAAGTTTCCCTCATTTTTTCCAGTTAAGACAGTTAACATGTATTAGGTTGCTTAATGCTCTGAATTATGTGTGTGTGTATATATAAAAATTTAAAAAGTGTTATTTCAGACTTATTATGATTACTTTTCAGTTTGTGTCAAACTTGGCACTGTGTAATCAGGTTTTGGCATTTGTTGAATGACATGAGAGTGCATAACACCAATCTGCTGCCACACTTAACATTTATTTAAGAATGTTTGTGCACATTTATAGAAATTTCTCACATGTACATATGTCAGAGTCCAATATTATCTGACCACGCTTTTTTAGGTATTCCACATTAAGTAGTTTTTTGCTCATCTCTGAGCCTTCTTCCAAGGATGCGTGTTGGTTGGTAACATTCCACTCCCTGGCTCAGACCAGCGTGTAGTGATTACTGGTGTTGCACAGTGAGCTTAATACGTTTATCGCATGAATGACCAGCCCTCTTGCCTGTGCGCAGTCAGGATGAAAACATATGCCTGTATTGGGATATTGATAGGTCCACCTCCACAGCTTCAACCCTTTTGTATTGTCCATGGCTGCACCCGCCCCCCACCTTTCCCCCTCTTCTCGTCATGGTTTACATGAGCAATGATGACTTGCATGCCAAAGGTGATGTGCCAAATGGCCCTCCTCTTATCCACTGCCTTTTCCTGACAAGGCAAATGATCTGGGCCCTGTTCAGAGAACTACCTCTTCAGCTCACTAACCAAAGGACAGCAGCCACTTGCCTCTGCTTCTATGGATCCTACATGCTTCAAGTCTCCTTGGTGCTACCAAGGTTGGGCAAGATTCAGTGAGTTGTGAGCCAGCTGGCCTACGACTCGCTGAGCTTGGCAGCTGCCCGTCCTGACCTACAGGCTCAGATCTATCCGAGTCTTAGATAGCTGATTTTAGCATGACAGTTTGCAACTTATAAGCGTTACCCCACCACCGTTTACTTTTTATCCTTCCCTGGGCTGGCAGGGAGCTGCCTGGCCCAGCAGACAACACACCCCCATGGTGAGTCTGCCTGTTGTGGTATTGGGGTTTGTAGGAGGATCTTCAGCACTAAGATTAAACCTTAAGCCTCGGCCATACTGAGGGTAACCTGATTTGCTCCTTTTCACCATGGATGGGTTATCCATTGTAGGGGTGTATCTCCAGGTTTATCTGAAAATTTATAGTCCACCCAAGGAGGTTTTCATGTTTAATATAAAATTTACTTATTTACATTAGGCGTTGCATGTGATCTGGATTTAGATGAGTAATACAGCCGTATCCTGTAATCACAGGCATAATTTAACAGTGGCAATATACAGCAAAATCACAATACAAACATGATTCCCATTAGCAGTCCCTAGATGCTCCACCATCATGATGCTGGCCATCCCCAGTCCCCAGCAAGTAATATGTAGCTTGAAGCCAGCTCAAGCCAGTTGCGCTCTTCCAGGTTTGTTTTGTTTGGTGCTCAGGTTTTACGCACTCTGGGCCATGCATTCACTTTGGCCATGTTGGTCTGTCTGGCTCAGGAAGACATTACTATCTAGTTTCAGGGACAGTTGTGTAGTCAGCCTGATGACTGCCTGGTACAGCTGTGTATCTTAAACCAAGGTTACCCTCCAATACCATTTGTATTGAGATGAATTTCAGCTTTCTTGATGAAAATTGGTAGTCATTCTTTATGTTCTTCCCTGAGAGAATATCTTTTTTCTTTTTCCACCTGTGGAAAACTAAGGGAAGGTTGGTGAAGAGGATTGTAAACATGCTCAAGTAGCTTGCAGCTGTGGTGTAGAAAAACACATATATCATACTAATTCTTGTTTAGCCTTGTGTGTTGGACAAGTAGGATATCTGTGTTTAGATAACATCGGCCTGTGATAGACTTAGAGGCACCCTATCAAACATGCTTGAGATTCCTGCCCTGCTGTGGAAAAGATCAAAGCACAGTTGGTAAACTACATCTGTGTGAACGCCTGAAATACAGGTGAGAACAACAGGTTCGGTGATCCTCTTGTCATGGACCAAGCTCCACGGTCCCTGTGTCCCCATTTGTGTGCCTCTGCCTGGGTGCTGCTTCAGGGATCCCCTAGTTGGTGAGGTAATGAAAATAAATTTACTCTGCATTTCATCTGTGGTTTTGTAGTTGTTCCTGTGTACTGCCTGTGCTGACTCACACACCACCCATCTCCTCTGAGCCTTCTTCAGTTGTGGGGGTGTGTTGGTCAGTCACAACATATGACCTTATTTGCATATGTGGGCAGTAGTGATTGCTGCATACAAGTAACCTCATTGTCTTGACATTTTAGGCTAGCAAAGAATGGAAGATTATTTCTTCTTATACTCCTGATTCAGATGTGCAAGTAGGAAGCAAATTGCTAATTGAAATGCCTTTAGAGGATGCTACTGGTATGCAGAAAAGAACTCCTTTTAATGTAGAAATGTACAAGGTGAGTTTTTCATAACATTGGAAATAGGAAGGATAAACTAAATTCCTACCTCTTGGAAATTTCTTCAAGAAATACTTTCATCCTGTAGTTCCACATTTATCAAGGTTGCTTTATCTTTTTAGTTGTTGTTCACATTTGTATAATAGAATCTTGATTTTGAAACATAAAAGTTTTTTCTAATGTGATTTGATAAGAGAGTAGAAGCTACATGTAATAGACTCTTAGGTATATTTACAGAACAGCTGTAGTTAAAGCAAATAGCAAATCAGCTTGTCAATATTTATTATTACTTTAGTCTGGTTTCAGATTGGTGTCACTACCTTAAAATTAAGGAAACTTCTTAGAATCTAGTGAGTCAGATATTTGCAGGATTGTATGGTAAAAAAATCACTAATTATATGTGCAAGTGATTACAAGGAAAATGGACTGTCACACCTGCAGCTGCTAGATTTGCTGTTGCAGTAGCTGCGTGCAAATTAGCTGGAAAATGGCTTATGTAATTAAAGAATCACATATTTAGTATTTACACTTGCTTAAAGATACTTTCTTATCTGTTACTTATTCTGTATATATTTGCTGGTTTTTTTATAAGTGCAAAGTATCTTTGTTTCTAACAATTTAGCTCATCTGGTGTTTCATTTATTTTATTTTATTTTGGTGTGTTGCCTTTTTTTTGTTCTGCTTCAGATGCTGAATGGAGAACTAAAGCAATTGTATACTGCCATTACAAGAGCCAGGGTCAATCTTTGGATCTTTGACGAAGACAGTGATAAACGGGCTCCAGCTTTTAAGTATTTCATCAAAAGAGAATTTGTTCAGGTTGTCAAAGCAGATGAAAAGAAAGGTAAAGTTATCCTAAAACTTTCTTAAAAGGCTGTCAGACTACTCATGCTTTCTTGCTTTTAGGCTGTGTAATAAAGAAGGTTAAATTCCTTGGTCCCTCTGACAGTATTCCTTGATAAACTGCCTTTGCAAATTTCCAGCGATTTCAGTGGGTCTTACTTCTTTTGGCTCTAAAGATCAGTTGTATATGTTAATACATAACTTTGTCACTAATTCATTAGTATAATTTTTCCTGCACGGTAATGAAGGCTTTTCGTGGAAAACCATCCCAGCCAAAAGAGATTTTTGAAATGAAAGAATTTGGTTTCTGTGAAGAAATCTGGTGGGTGATGTGGTGGTCGGAGGCCATCTTGGGCTTAGCGACCATGACATGATAGAATTCTCAATTGTGAGCGAAGTAAGGAGAGAGGTCAGCAATCATGGACTGCTATCATGGACTTCCGGAGGGCAGACC